TTTTTTTTTTGTTGCTTTTGTTTCTTATGTTTCATTTTCTTTTTCACTTCAGGAGCAGGAATACAGCTGTGTGGTGAAGATGCCCTCTGGTGAATTTGCCCGAATCTGCAGGGATCTGTCACAGATCGGTGATGCTGTCATGATCTCTTGCGCCAAGGATGGTGTGAAGTTTTCTGCTAGTGGAGAGCTGGGCACAGGCAACATCAAGCTCTCACAGACCAGCAATGTCGACAAGGAGGATGAAGCGGTAACATTCTTTTAACATCGGCAAAATTACCAACAAATGTCAGGTGTGGCAGTTTTGTGAGTTTGTATGTCATGAAGGCAATTCACAGCGCTGTGTTCCCTACAGGTGACAATTGAGATGAATGAGCCAGTGCAGCTTATCTTTGCATTGAACTACCTGAACTTTTTCACCAAGGCCACTCCTCTGACCAAGACGGTCACGCTCAGCATGTCTGCAGACATTCCACTAGGTATGATAAATGCTCTCATGGCCATATTAATTTGCCTTTTGAGTTGAAACAATTTAAATGATTGTCCTTTTTTCTTTTGCAGTGGTTGAGTACAAGATTGCAGACATGGGACACATCAAATACTACTTGGCACCCAAGATTGATGAAGAATCGTCCTAAATCCAAGTACAAGACTGAAATCTTCGGCAGAATTTTGGTCTGCATATCAGAAATTATTTCAATAGATGTTTTGGGGAAATGCATTTTACTACTTTGTGTCTGCGGTGGTTTCCAGTTCAATGGATTCACAATTCTGTAACCATCTAAGCCATTTCATATGATTGGCAGATATATGGGCACACTTAAACAGATAGTAGTTTGATATTTGGCTTTACCAGGCGATGTGGGCTGAATCTAGAGTTGTTACAGACAGCATGCACAGACTCCGGTTCAGTCTCGTTTTCTTGGTCTTTGTGCTCGTCTTCCTTCTTGACCCCACTTCAGGTTTTTGTCCAACTGCTCATTCCAGTGTGTAGATAATTGTCTGTAAATATGCTAATTGGACACTGTTCATCCAGTCAACCATTAATAAAACATTTTGTAATGATGGTTCTCATCTGTGTTTCTTAGGTCATAATGTACTTGATGTTTAAAAGAAGGTTGTTTAAATGTTCATTATTATTTTAAATATAAAACTTAATATACTTGTAAAATGTAATGTTCTAAAAGTGTTGAGAATTCTGTTTGGAACAATGTGAACTTAGTTTGGCCACTAGAGAGAGCCAGAGTAGCAGAATTTAATGTAATGTTTGCACAACTTTTTTTTTTTTTTTAGAATGATAATTTTTGACTTATGTTTTGTAAAAATTAAAATGAGTCCTTTTTCTTGAGTAAGCATTCAAGAGGAACATTTCCATTCGTAAGACAAGGCTTTTTGCTTTTGAATGATGCTCAAGAAATTGGTTTGAGTCCAATCTTTCAGTGAATATTGAATCAGTTCTCAAAACCGATCTGGGAGAGGGGGTAATGGTTTCTTGGATCGACTTAGGTTTGTAATATTGCTGAAAAACGCAACCCTGAAACGTTTGTCCATGATTCATTCCGCGCGGTTCTCGAGTCAATTCTCGGGCTTTTTGAATATTGTTCGATTTGTAATGATCAGGGAATGTATGAGTGAGCTGCAAGTAAAAGCAGTTTGGACTGTAATGAGACGTAAAGAAAATGACAATGTGGACCTACAGTTATTATTTGGGACTTCACTAGGCATACGCGCCGAATCAGTTTTCAAAGAATCGATTCGCTATAATGAGTCGATCACTTGTAACTTTTTGAATCAGTATCATCGTCACAGCTTTGTGGGCGGGGAAAACTACATGGCCCAACAACGTGGTAAGTTTTTTTTTTGTTGTTTTTTTGCGCGGTTTCGTGGTTGTAGGCTTGCTGCCTTGGATATTTTAAGTTCTGA